ATACCCTCAGGGGCCGGAGCTCGTGATAGCTTCGCAGTGGATGCTGGTGTGCACCTAGGCATCGAGTGCGACTGCTGTGAAGAGCTGCCTATTGTCGGCCCAAGGTGGGACTAGTGAGTTGGTGTGTATGTCATAATGAGCGTGTCAGGTACAAGTGCGCGGTCTGCCGAGATTACGATCTCTGTGAGGAATGCTTTGAGTCCACGTGTCCAGCCAAGTCTCATGACCATCCTAGAAGCTCGTTCTACAAGCTAACTCCTCTGGAGACCATCGAAATACGCAAACAGCCGGGGGCTTGGGCTGCCAAGTGTCAGCAGTCAGTAGCTCCGACGGTGGCTGTTCCCAGTGAGGGAGCAGAGACCTGTGGTGGGCCTATGATTGGACCGATCGCAGTGGTCAACCCTGAGCCAGAACCCGTGGGGTGAGTCGGTTGAACCACTGTGTCGTTGGAAGGCTCGTTGGTCTGTAGGGTGGTCGAAGCTTCTGCTGCTGAGTCCGAGGTGGACGAGGAAATTGAGATGGAGAGGCCCCCAGCTGAGAGCACCAATGATGGTAGTAGTGAACAGGTGCGGCTGTGGGTAGGTATGGCTCGGTCTTAGGCACTGGCTCTGATTCGGGGAGTTGGATGGACCTGGGAGAAGTTGAAGAGGATATCATGTCGGTTGGGACACCACGTTCTGACCAGTTCCAGGTTAGTCATTGGAAGGCCTTCGTGTAGTGTTGCATACTACTTGTCGCTATTTTAGATTATCCAAGCGTTTGATGGCGACTCGTTGGGAGATGAGGTCGAGGTAGGATACTCTCGATGGGAGTTAAATCATCATCTCATGCTTCAGGTTTCGGAGGCAGATGCTGGAGGTGTCACTGTGGATAGCTTGGCTGAGGCTATGGTACATCATGGAGTAGCCGAGAACAGGGCAAGGGCTGAGTTGGTGATAAACCAGGTAGGCTTCTCTCGTGCCTCACCTTGGGATGAATAGCAATGCCATTGACGTGTGTGCTAAGGAGTTCACAAGTATTTTTTTCGTCTGTAGATATCCTCTAACGAAGAGCTCCGTGGAAAGCTGAGTGCGTTCCTGAGGGAGATTCAATGATGAGCTCCGTGTCGAGTCCGAATTAGCTAGTAGCAGCATCTATCCCTCTCGTCGTTGTGACTGGACATTTTTGCATTTCTGAGAGATGGCAAGTTGAAAGTATCATCATTTACCTTTTCATTTCATCCCATGGTAGTTGTCAACCTATTTTGATAGTTGTGATGGTAGTATGTAGTATGCCGCTTTGATGGTGATTATGCTAGAGAGAGTGTCAGTCTGATGGACCGCTCCCTCTAGTCTGTGGTCGAGTATGCTCATACGTACATAACTTGCTTTTCGTGTTGCGTTAATATTAATAGGCACTCCGCTGGTCTTTGTGGAGTTCTGAGATTATGGGTAACGTGTTCGTATTGAGAGTAAAGTTCGCGGGTGAGGTTTTTAGAACCAGGGTAGTAGCGGAGATGTTCGAGACTCTGAAGGATGTGAAACAGTAGGAGTGTTGGCATCTTCGTCGTGAGCATGGCTTTGTTGTATCAGGTTGATAACTGAGGCGTGGCCGCATCTAGAAGGCGAGAAATTTGAAGTATTGTTACCGACTGGGGAGATCTTCGAGGAGCTGGGCGATGAAAAGTCTGTGCTGGAGCTGGTGGAGGATGCACCTAAGGAGCCCTGTGGGGTGTTACCGGAACTGAAGGTCGAAGTCAAGCTTGCTGAAATCGTCATCGAGGAAGACTGCACCGAGTGTAAACCTCACTGCGGGGAGTGTGCCGCTCCCGATGGACAAGCATAGGGTTGCCAGTCTTCACTTTTTACAGTGTGACGATTGTCACATGTTCCCGATCGTTGGAAAAAGGTGGGTATAAGGTAGGCTTATAAGCTTTGTTTTCGAGTTTGATATGCGCGACTTGAATTTCATCGTGGAGTATGTCTGAGCTCTACGATGAAGAAGTCGATCGATCACTTGTAAATTAGTCGTCGAGGATGCACGGTTTTTAATGGTGCGTATGTCATGGTATTTCGGGTGAGGTACATATGCATCGGCTGCTGTCCCAAGAGTGTTGACCTCTGCTATCGATGCCATACTGATCATGACAGCTCTCATGAGACGGTTCTGTATAATCACAGTATGGATAGTGTGTGGAACAACCAGAAATTTGATGATGCCGATCGAGGGTGTCCGAAAAATATGAAGAGGTGGGAGGGACTTGGGCCAGTGTTGGGAAAAATGTACGCTTTCCTCACTGAGCTTAGGAGTTTCCTCAGTTATAGAAGTTTACGGGAGAATTCGGGTTGGAGTGTTGTACAAAAACCAACAAGAATTCCCCAAAATTTCCTCAGAATTTTCACATTGCCTCCAACACGTGTGGTTGAGCATGTAAATATTTTTCGACACTGACTTGGGCGACGACTGCAGTATGAGAGGCAGGTTTGATAAGCTGCAGTTGAGACACAGCTCGGTGCCCATAATGGTTGCTCAAGTGTATGAGCGAGGGAGAGGGATCGACCAGGTGGTGTCGTGTTGCCGAGATGGTACGGCTGACACGAGGTATCTCTTTATGATGCCATTCCTGTGGGGACTGTGACACTACCATTAGAAGGTATAAGGTGTCTTAGTCTTAAAGTAGAGCTATGGTACAGGTTCAAGAGTGATTCGAGAGATGATATCGCCCTATGCGAGATGTGCTATCTAGTGCACGCGGCTGATGTCCTCAAGGTTGCGTACAAGTGCTCTCGTTTGGTCAGTCCGGGCTTCTGGGATGGTCCGGGATCGGATACCGTATGGAAGGCTAAGCACCTCCATGTTACGTGCAAAATGTGTGGGGCGTGCCCGATTAAGGGGAGGAGGTAACAGGGGGAGCCCTATGAGTTGGAGTTATCCACCTGTTGCGCTCTCTCCTAACGGGCATTTCTCGGCTTGAAAGTCTGTTATGTTGTGCCCAAACCAGGACCCTCCATATGTAGTTCATCTTTATATCACGACTGTCGGGCTTTTTATGTAGTGGATCCAGCTTGTGACAGTTCTCGCCCTACGTTCTCTGACTGCTCTCGCGATGTTTGACCATTTTTGAGTGGTCGTAGAGATCGTGTTTGTAGGTTGTTTCATGAGCACTGGCAGTGTTGGAGTCGAGACTGAGGTAACCCTCAGGTACCGTTGTGCGGTATGTGCTGACTTTGACTTATGCGCCACTTGCTATAAGAAGCCCACGAACAAGCAGCACAGGACTGACCATTGCTTTACCCTTATAGCTAAGCCGGTGACTCTGTGGAGTGTCAAGACTAGGGAGCCTAGGGGCGTCCCACTGGGAGACCTGCCTTGCGAGATGTGTCACAATAGGGGACAGGGAGGTGCCAGGTACGGATGCGGTGAGTCGTCGCCCTCACGATGACTGTGTTGAGGTACACTCTTCGTTCCTTGTTCGCTACTCCAATGAGGGACGCACACTTCTGCACGGAGTGTTATAAGGCGATGCTGGAGAAGGAGGCAAGAATCCTTCGTAGTGCGAGCGGTAGGATGTCTCCATGGGCCATCACCAACAGGGCTAGAAGCGAAGCTCTCTCTGTCCCGCATAGAAGTGGGTGATGCTCAGTAGGTGGTCGGTAGTGACCGTTCAGACATACGTGGGGCGAGTTGGTCGGAGCAGTCCTCGGACGTGCTCCGTGAGATCATGCAAGCGGTGAGCGAGAGAGAACGAGAGCCTTATGAGGTGTGCAGTGTGGCCTTGGTCGGGCATATGGTGTTGATGTCAGTCGATGTGGGCAGAGGAACCTCCCAGAGAGCCTCAGGTCCATGACAGATTCCTTGCTGTAAGGCTAGAGTAGGAAGTCTGGTCCAGTCGGGGATATGTGAGGTCACTACTGCCTTGAAGGCCCCTCTAATGTGATTCCGGCTTGGGACCATTCTTTGATGATGATAATGGTCCCATTCGGGAATCTTATCCTATTTCCAACTTTTACCAATATCGATTTCATCCCAACACATGTGAGTCTTATCGAAACATGTTTCAAAGTCCCTTAGAGGTATTTTCCCGTTAAGACGTCGGACTAGTTGTCTGCAGCTTACAGTGACCAGTCCAACGCCTTTTTCTGGGGTATAGTCCCTGTCCATGTTCATCGTCACCAGAATCGTATTCACTAGTTAGAATCATCCTTATCGGAGAACTCAGGCGAGACCTGCGCCAGACTACTAGTCTTATGATTTCTGTTGAGGTCTCCACAGCCTGGCTCAGCTTTGCGTTTGAGGGGTCTTCGCTGTGATGATCGTTACGGCCAGTTTCACTTCACTTATCGTTATGAGGGAAAACAGCTTCTTCATCGTGAAGCTGGCCTACGGCAAGGAGTCACTCCAGTGTAGATGCCCGATGGCTACGATTCGCACTGTGGGAGATCTGCATAGGTGAGACGGCGACGTGTCGGGCACTGGTCACAGCTGTCGGCCTCTCAGACTGATAGAGGAGGCCTGGCCTAGTCTGAGGACTGTTGAGTATACGGCAACCCTACGTGGCGGTCGAGAGCTCAGCACCTGGCCTCGTGATAGTCCCATCTCGGCATTGATCTCGGAGGGCCTCGCTGAATCGGTATATATGTTCCCTCGATTGAAGCTTCGCGTTAAGGCGTCCCAAAAGGGATCCTCGGGGTCGAAGAAGGGGCCCCAGCCGATGGACGGCCACAAGCCTGCATCGATGCACCTGCAAAGCTGTAGGGAATGCGAGATGTTCCCCATAGTGGGGCGAAGGTAGGCTGGTCGTGATAGGTGAACTATGGAATACCTTCGGCTATGTTCAGCTTCAACTGCGCTACTTGTCCCCCGGGGGTCCTCTGTGCATGGTGCTACGATAAGCATGATAAGCATCATACGATAACGCCGTTGGTGATGGCATGTGATGGCGTATGGGAAGGGAGTATGTTCACACAGAATGCCCGGGACATGACGGAGATCCTCAGAGAAAGGCATCGTCCTTGGCCTGGTGACACCGTAGAGTAAGTGGGGCCTCAGTCGCGACGCGTGGCGGTCATCAAGTCAATATTCTTTATATAATAATCATCATCTTCGTCATCTCATTATTCCTCACAATTTTCTTTGAGAAGAATTTATTAGTCTTATTCCTGTTAGCATTGACTACGTCCAAGTAGGGGAGAACCCCCTCCCTGCGATGGTGGCCGAAGTGTTCTCAAAGTCGGAGGCCCATCATGAGGCCATCACTTCGGGCTGCTTTGATGATGGGAAGACTATCCTGTGCTATAGGCCCTACTGCCATGCATGTGGAGCATCGGCTCCTCGGATGCGAAAGTGTGACTTCGAATTTTCCCACGGCACTTGGTGGTATCACCTTGGTAGGTTCGAGTGTGATGGTAGAGGTGATATCAACCTCTGTGATATGTGCTACATCTTGTGGGGAGGCGATGTCATGAAGATCGCATACAAGTGCTCGAGAGTGTTGCTACCGGGGGCGTGGAACCCTGTAGGGCAGGGCCCGTGTCGGCTGGTCCATTATGGGGTTACGTGTGCTGAGTGCGGAGTGTCACCGATACGCGGACGGAGGTGAGGGGGGAGGATTCAGGAAATTTTTGTATGGCTCTTATCGCACCGTGTCAGGTACCATTGCGATTTCTGCACAGAATATGATCTGTGCGAAGGCTGCTACAAAGAGGAGGCCAACAGAAAGCACAGGGAGACGCATCTCTTCACTTTGGTGGTGAAGCCAGTAAAGGTGTGGACAGTCCAGATGAGAGAGCCGAAGGGCACGCTCATGAGCACCATACCCTGCGAAAGGTGTGGCCAGCTGCCCGTTGGGGGCGCTACGTAAGGAATCATGAACAGCCTATGCATTGTCGCACTGCTGGTTACCCTCAGTTACAGCACGGTGGCATTGCCGGACTCCCACTACTGCTTGCCTTGTTACCGTGAGGGCCTCCGTTTTGAGGCTCTCTGTGTGCGAGGGCC